GGATACCTGGCGCATTTCATTGCGATTTTTCAATACATACCCTGGGTATTTCATTGCGATTTTTCAAATGTATTCCTGGGCATTTCATTGCGATTTTTCAAATGTATCCCTGGGTATTTCATTGCGATTTTTCAAATGTATTCCTGGGTATTTCATTGCGATTTTTCAATAGATACCCTGGGCATATCATTGCGATTTTTCAAATGTATCCCTTGGTATTTCATTGCGATTTTTCAATAGATACCCTTGGTATTTCATTGCGATTTTTCAAATGTATCCCTGCGTATTTCATTGCAAAATTTCAAATGTAGCCCTGGGCATTTCATTGCGATTTTTCAAATGTATTCCTGGGTATTTCATTGCGATTTACGAAAGTTGTAGCCCTACACTGTAGCTTCCCGAATCCGTTTGAATTATGTTCTGAAGTGCTCCCGTTGTGGAGATATGAGGTAAAGGAATTTCAAAAGCATCGCGTTTTTTTTTTTTTTTGTGTTTTTCTCTATGAAAACAAAACCAAATAACATGATTTCAGTAAATTCAGAAAGCTAAAAGAAAGGGCTACAATTATTGTATCGTGGGAAAAATGACCAAAAAAGGAAGGTGCATCCCGTACTATAAGAATCAGATATAGACTACCAAGTTTACTGATAGACTACAAAAAAGTCGGACTTAGACTACACAGTTTACTGATACACTATAAAAGACTACAAAAGTCGAACTTAGGCTACAAAAGCGTGGACTTAGACTACATAGTTAGGGTTAGAGTCAAAAGGTTATCTTGACTACAAAGTTTGTAGTGTGCGCTTTTTCATTAAAAAAGTTTGTAGTGTCCGCTTTTTGAGACTACAAAAGTTGTAGTGTTGCGCTTTTTCATTAAAAAAGTTTGTAGTGTCCGCTTTTTGAGACTACAAAAGTTGTAGTGTTGCGCTTTTTCATTAGAAAAGTTTGTAGTGTTGCGCTTTTTCATTAGAAAAGTTTGTAGTGTGCACTTTTTTATAGAAGAGTTGA